AGTCATCAGTGCTCCTAGTTTGGAGAGCAAGTCTCCTCCCAACAGGGGTACTGGGCACTCAGGAATGTAGAGGAATTCATGAATCACTTGGTGCCCCCCCCCCCCCCATCTGACATTTTCTGGGCTGGCAAAACGATTTAATCATCTCTTCTCCCGATACCCCAGTTACATCAGTAGTCGTTTTGGACAGTGGTGCTACAGGTTTTGTTACCACCGACAGTTCTACTCCTGTATCCACCATGAAGTCAATGTTTTGTTCCCCTACTTTTAAGGTTACCATGGGCTCTCAGGGACCTGATATCTCTGAGCCCTGGCAGCCCTAGTTAATTTCCAAGTCAGCAAGCCCCAGAACTGCGAGAGCTTCCTTTTCCTTCCTTGCCTTAGGGCATTCATCCTTCCAGTGGCCAAAACCTCGGCACCAGGCACACTGGTTTGGCTGTAACTGGCCCAGGGCCTCCCTTGGGACCAGTTGAAGGACTGTCCTGTCCCTGGGGCAGATGTTTTCCGGAGGGCCCGAGATAGACTTTCCCAGAGCAGCAGCTTGCACTGTAAGTCTCTTGTCTGTTCTCTTTCATTCCCTCGGCTCTCTGGCAGAGCGCAGTCTCTGCTTAATTCCAACGTCTCCCTCCCCTTCTTGTCAGTACTCATGGGGAGAGGCGGGTATAGCTTGGGCGATTCGGTTGGAGCCGGATCCTGTAAGTGTTGGCCAGAGGTTTCTGTCACCAGGATCAGAGCCTGCCCAAATGGCGGCTCTATGAACTCTGGGAAAGCTGGCGGAGGTGCGGTGGCTGTTGCAGAAACTTCACCTGGCCCTGGATCGGGCATTAAGGCGGCCTCCAGTCCTGGTGAAGCACTGGGAGGCAGGCGTGTCACTATCCAGCATAGGGGAGGGGTCAGGTCATCCCTGTCCAAATCCTGTAGAATTTCCTTTTTTATCATCAGTCAATTTTTGTGCCATTAATATTTTTCCCTTTCCCTTCTGGATACAGAACCTTGTCCAAGTAGGAGGGTCTCAAGCTAACCCTAGCCATGAGTCAATAGATGGATATTGATCCAGGTGTCCTGGCTCTCCTGTGACTACTGTGTAGATTGCTTCCACTATTTTTAAGTTCACAGTGTTCTCTGGTGACCATCCTGCTCCCATAGGGGTCCATTCGACCTCACAGAGTATGTGGAGGCAGTTTAGGCTTCATCTTCACCCCATAGTCTCCTCCTAATCCCTTCTTTAAAATTTTTGCTCCAATACAGTTGCCTTAGATTCACTTCCCCCCATCTTGCTTACCTTCTCAGACCTTCTTCTACTTTTCCTTTTCTTTCTATGAAGTTCTCAGTACCCTATGTACTTCTGATATTTTCACTCAGTGACACTTTAATTGCCATTCTGCCTCCTTCCTAACTAGGGTGAAAAAAGCCTTACCTGCCAGACCCCAGCGGGAGAAGGGGGGATTGGTGTGTCTTCACCTGCCGGTCAGCACAGCTGAACCAGAACATCACATGGTCCAAGACTGTTTCTCCCTTAAAGTCCATTCTGCCTTCGTAGGCATGATCAGGTGCGGATGAAAATGCAGAAGGGTTAAATATCCCATGTCCCAGGCCATCTCCGGAAAAGCCAATTCATACTCACTTCTGTATCCCCCTCCTTCTAGCCTAACAATTCCGAGGGGGTCAAGAATTTCACAGCAGACAGGACACCTCCTGGGGGAGGGCAGAATACGAGCATACAAGGACCAGTTTCCTATCCTAAAAATCCCCTGGCGATCGCTTGGTAATAATTTTCCCCGAGACAGCGTGGACACACCTCCTAAATGACCTTCACAAATTTCCTTCCTAAACCCTAGCACGCTTGTCAACCTGTGTACCAAGCAATCACCGTCTGCCTATTCCAGGCTCCTGTGGGTCCCCGCTCCTTCTAGTCCCTCCCAGGGGGGTGATCAGGCCCCCTCTTCCACCCTGCTGGGTGGGTCCCTCCTCACCCGAGCACTCAGTTCCCCTGCTGCCGTCCACTACCTGCTGATGTGAAAGGTCCGGGCGTTGAAAAGCAGAATCATTCCAGAGGGGCGAGGCACCTTCCCCCCTCTAGGAGATTCATGCTACAAAGCCTCGGGGTGGCCTCAAATGAGACCTGTCTCCTCAAAGTAGGAGTTTCCCGGCTAACGCACCAAATGTTATAGCCATGCTTTCCGGGAAACAAACTCACTCAGAAGGACAATGCAGATAGTGAAGTGCAGTTTATGACACCAGCGGGCCCAAGGCAGTCCCCTTTTAGCCAAGGGCCCCAACCAGCATTTGTGAAAATCTTTTATACCCCATGTGTACATGTCCAAACCCACCAGCCCAAATCCCTTGAGGCTTACAAAGGAAGGGTAAATACAATCACAATAACCCCATCATTCACGTGTTATGTGTTCAAACAGTTAATAATCAATAAGCCAGTGGTTACATTCCAATAGATACTGTCCGGAGGCAGGGGTGATTAGTGTCTTTTCTCTTAGGCAATGAGTGACCTGGATGTGATCTTCAAGATTCCCCTGCCCGGATGGGGTCTTATCCTTCCATTGTCATTTCCACAGGCGCTAAGCACAGAGTTCAGAGTCCACTGGAGAGTCGGCCTAGCACGATCAGCACCGACAGGCCAGAGAGGGAGTCCAGGCCCTATGAATTCCTTCTTCAGGGCCAACAGTGAAAAACCAGACATCCAGATAGATAAACAGAGCTTTTCCAATCCAGCTGTAAATCAACTCTCTTCCGTAATGTGAAATTCTAGAATAGGCAAAACTATAGTGACAAAAAGCAGATGAGTGGTTACACGGAACCAGGGATTATGGAAAGGAATTAAGTGCAAAGGAGCATAAGAAAACATTTTAGGAGATGGAACTGTTTTCTATATTTTGATGGTGATGATGGTTATACTATTATAAGGAATTATCAAATACATTTAAATGGTAATTTAGTACTGATAAATTATATTGTGTGTAAATAATAACAAAAAAGAAGAAATTTTTTAAAGTATCATGCTACATTTAATCTTTGGGACTTAACATTTAGTATTTTATTGCTAAGAATCATTCCTATTGTTATGTGTCACTGTAGTTTGTTTCGAAACCAGTATAATATTCCATTGTGTGAACAGTCCAGTTTATTTGTCCACTCTCTTGCTCGTGGCTATTTGGGTTTGCTTTTGTGACCAGGGCTGCTATGAAAACATTCTTGTATATATCTCCTGATGTACATGTAAGAGTTTCTCTTGGATTTATCCCTAGTATTGTAATAAGTGAGTTGTAGGTAAACATTCAATTACAGGAGATAATCAAACTATTTTCCAAAGTAGATCTCTGCTTTGACCCCATCTGCAGGAGACGCTATCCCCTTGAACTATCACTGCTTAGCATTTAATTAGCACCAGGCTGGCTACCCAGGAGGCCAAGGGAAGAAACCCAGGCACCTATGGTGTCCAAGCCTCAGCAAATACTGAATGTTGAGTAAGCAGCAGGCAGGAACCACACAGCACACATAGAAGCTAATTAGAGTCCTACTCCCTGGAGCTCCATCTTCCTAGCTTTACTTGATTTTGAGTCTGAAAGATCTTTCAGGGCCCTCAGTTATGATGCAAATTCCAAGAAAGGAAAGGCTTAACCTCATCTAAAATCCTTCTCAGCTGACACCTCTAATACCCAAACAAGGATTAGCAGGAAAGGCTTAAAGAACAAAAGGAGAGACAGAAAGAGGAAGAGAAGGGTTAAGCAAAGTAGGAAGAATCCTCTTCCATGCAAGAAGCAGTTTTTCAGAAAAAAAAACTTAATAAAAAAGTAGTATCTGCAAGTGACCATAAGCAATTTTTAATATCCCTACCTTTAAAGAACTGCCTTCTTTGTGCTAAAGTTACAAAAACAACACAACTAACAGTCAGGCATTCAGTTCAGTCACTCAGTCGTGTCCGACCCTTTGCAACCCCATGAATCGCAGCATGCCAGGCCTCCCTGTCCATCACCAACTCCCAGAGTCTACCCAAACCCATGTCCATCGAGTCGGTAATGCCATCCAGCCATCTCATCCTCTGTCGTCCCCTTCTCCTCCTGCCCCCAATCCTTCCCAGCATTAGGGTCTTTTCCAATGAGTCAAGTCTTATGAGGTGGCCAAAGTATTGGAGTTTCAGCTTCAACATCGGTCCTTCCAATGGACACCCAGGACTGATCTCCTTTAGGATGGACTGGTTGGATCTTCTTGCAGTCCAAGGGACTCTCAAGAGTCTTCTCCAACACCACAGTTCAAAAGCATCAATTCAATATTGCTCCAAATACATACTTTGTGAGGTGAGAGCCTGTGATGCTGGGAGAAGAGCTCTGAGGGATTTGAGGCTTAGCCAGAGAACTAGCAACAAAGCTCAGTCATGCACCAGGAACAAGAAAAAAAAACCAAAAAACCTGAAGATAACAAAATAAGACATTAGGCAATTCCTAGATGCTCAGAGAGCTGCCATTCTGAAAAATGAAGAGGCCTCATTTTCTCCCACAGTCCCAAACACTACATCCCCAGCAGTTCCCTGGTCACCTGTCATACAGGAGCTCAAGGAATACTTACTAGAGGAGTGAACAAGGGAAGAAACACACAACAGAGTATCACAGCCCTGTGGCAGAAGCAGCTTCCCAGCCACATTTGGGCAACAGAGCTGTTGACAGTAGGAGGATGCCTGGAATTATTTGCCTCTGGAGAGCTTTCTTAATGTAAGCAAGCAGATTATAATGCACTGGGTTAACATTTTCAGTTACTCATTCCTGAAATCAGATCATGGGCCACATGGAGAAACTTGGCAGGCTTGTGTAGGCCCTTCAACTGCTCAAGACTTATCATGCAAAAGTCATCTCAAGTGTGAGAAGGGTTCAGTAACCAGAGGCCTGTAACCAGGCTGAGGTCCTGGACTCTGGGTACCTGAGAGTTAGTGCTCATTAGCAGCACCTGGTACAAGAGGAACTAACAAAACTTGGACTGACATGAGACCACCCCCAACTTCAGCCCCAGCTCCATGGAGCTTCAACAATTTTATTGGCTAAACACTTTTTCCCAAGTTTACAGCATCACTGGTTCCTCCTCCTAAACCCCTAGTGGGGCAGGAACCTTTAGCACAGGCTCAAAGATGGGGAGCGGGGATTGGAAGTGGGGTGTAATAAGTGAGTTAGAAACCTGCTGATGCTCCACAATTGGACAGCAGGACAGAAAAACTCCTATTTCCTACTGCTGAAAACCATCTATAGAAAGACTTGAATGGGATGGAGATTAACCACTGGTCTCCACAAGAGTACACCCAGTCTTCCTACACCAGGACTTCAGGAACAGGGCAATGCTACGTCATTCTACACATTTTGCAAAAGTACATAGGCCCAAAATTGGCCATGAGGTTTGGGATTACCAGCTCCCCAACTTGGCAGGATGGGAAGAAATAAAATGTGTTCATGAAAAGCTTTCGGAAGTGAGTCAAGTCTTCCACCTGAACCTTGATGCTGTATTGATTGTCCAGGAGCTCGATGGCACCTTGCACCACATACTCATTCTGTAAGTGTGAAAGTGAGCAGGTGGAATAGACAACGTGGCCTCCTGGTTTGGTGGCAAGGAGTCCAGCCCTGTAACCAGAGAGAGAGAGTGGAAGTAACTAATGAGCTTCGCAGAAGCAGAAGGGCAACAGAAGAAGCTGGAAGGACTGGGGAGCCAGTTGTGGGATGGATGACTGTGTTAGCCTCTGCATGCCTTCCACAGTGACATCATCTGAAAAGCTGTTCTCAAAGCAGAGAGCAACCTAACCTTACTCCAAGGGCTCTCCTCCAGAAGCTGTCTTGAAACAGTCACCTGATCTTTGACTCCAGTTATAGACCAAACACTGATACTGGCTATACAGATATAGACCAAACACTGAACCAAGTTCTTATCCCAGCGGTACAGAGCCTTGACCTCAGTATATATTTCAAAATTGTGTTAATCTTTGACATGGGGTTAAGGGTTAGCCTGGAGGTAAAAGTGAATCTGTGCAGTCCATCCTGCTATGTATTTCTACCATACAGAGTTTTTATGTCCCAGAGGAAGACCATCCTGTGATGTTTGTCTCCTTCAGACAGATTCCCAAACAGAAAACCCTTCTATGGGCGATGGTCTTGGCAACAGCTTCTAGCAACCCAGATTCCCAGATCACTCTTTCCCAAAGTCCTGAGTTTTTGTAAATCTGTTACTCACGCAAGAAGCTGCACCTGCAACATAGGCAACATCTGCCGCTCCTTCTTCCTCGAACGCTGAAAGATGTTGTTTTCCTCCTCATGAAGGGAGTGGCGGTCTGTGGTACAAGGCACATCCACTAGCACCTGCCCAGAAGTGTAAAAGATCAAGTATTAGAGCTCCTTACAGGCTCCTTTTCCTTAGGTCAGGGCTATTTTAGTCCCTTGACCTGGAGGATTCTGCAGAGTGCTCCCTTGGCCCATCCCCCAACTGCAGAGTATCTGACAAAGCTTCTCACTTTAACCTGGTGGACAACTGTGAAATAAAGAGTGGGAAAATAGTACATCTAGGCATACTTATGGCTGGTCAAAAAACCAAAACCAACATATAAATAATTGTAATTAAATAATTGATATCAACCTAAAAAGAAGTCTTCAGTGTTTCAGAGCTCTGTCCTTGACTCTATACCTAGCTATTTGAATGAAAACATCCAATTTACAGATGACATAATGCCCAAAGGGTAGCTAATACACTGAGTAACAGGATCAGGATTCAAAATTATCTTATTCTAAAACAATGTCGTATTCAACGTGGAAAAGCTTATTTTTTCCATTTATTTTTATTAGTTGGAGGCTAATTATCAATGTGGAAATGTTTTAAAGTGAGAGATGCAAAGTCATTCACTTATTGGGGAATTCCCCAGCGGTCCAGTGGTTAGGACTCCCCACTTTCTCTGCTGAGGGCCTGGGTTCAATCCCTGGTCAGGGAACCAAGATCCCACAAGTCACACAGCACAGCCAAAAATAAAGTCATGCATTTATTTATTAAAAGCCTACTCTGATGGGCAGCAAAACAAAACAAAAAGAGCCCTCACCTCCCCCAAAAAACCAGTCCTATATTTACATTTCAAAAAAAGTAAAAATTATCTATGGAAAAGATCTGTAAATTTTTAGTTAAGCAGAAATTCCATGTAAATTAGTAATGACCCAGGGTTCAATATTCTGATGCATTCTTTGGCTACATGAATTGATACAGCACATACAGAGTAAGACAAATGATTACCTTGTACACTGGTCAGGTCATATCTCAAGAAATGTGATGGGACTAGCGTTCAGAAAAAAGAGACATTAATTAAATAAGAACGCTCAGAGAAGGGATAGGAAAGCTCAGAGAAGGGTCACTGGGATGTTTAGAAACCATATGACAATACCCTCTGTTTCCTGAAACCCTTGTAATACAAAATACCTAAAAAGGATAAAATACATTTTAAAAATAGTCAATATTTTAAAATGCGTAGCTCAAAGAAAATTAGAAAAATCTGCAGAAGCCAAAGAAAAATCAGGAGTACAAATCCAAGGAGGCATTCCAGAGCTGAAGCTGATGGCTTCTTTTTTTTTTCCAATTTGAAGTATAGTTGATTTATAACGTTGTGTTAGTTTCTGTTAAACAGCAAAGAGATTCAGTAAAATATATATATATATATATATTATTTTTCAGATTATTTTCTATTATAGTATAAGATATTGAATATAGTTCCCTGTGCTATATAGTAGGACCTTGTTCCTTTTTTCTTTTGGCTGTGCTGTGTGGCTTGTGGGTGCTCAGTTCCCTAACCAGGGATTCAACCCAGGCCACAGCAGTGAAAGCCCAGAATTCTAACCACCAGGCAACCAGGGAACTCCCAGGACCTTGTTTATCTATTTCACATACAGTAGTTTGCTTCCACTAATCCCAAACTCCTAATTTATCCCATCCCTTTCTCCTTTGGTAACCATAACTTTGTTTTCTATACCTGTGAATCTGTTTCCATCTTGTAAATAAGTTCATATGTATCTTTTTTTATTAGATTCCACTTGTAAGAGATTTGTCTTTCTCTGAGTTACTTCACTTAGTATGATAATCTCTAGGTTCATCCATGTTGCTGCAAACATCACTATTTCATTCTTTTTTATGGCTGAGGCATATTCCATTTAATATATGTATCACATCTTCTTTATCCACTCATCTGTCAATAGACATTTAGGTTGCTTCCAAGTCTCGGCTCTTGTAAATAATGCTGCTAATTATAGTTTTGTCTGGACAAACGTCCAGGAGTGGGACAGTTGAATCCTATGGCAACTCTACTTTTAGTTTTTTGAGAAACCTCCATACTGTTTTCTATAATGGCTGCACCAATTTATATTCCCACCAACCATGTAAGAAAGTTCTCTTCTCCACAACCTATCCAGCATTTATTATTTATAGACAATTTTTTTTTAATCTTTTTGGCCATGCCACACAGCATGTGGGATCTTAGTTCCCTGACCAGGGATCAAATCCGCACTCTGTGCATTGGCAGCGTGGAGTCTTAACCACTGGACCACCAGGGAAGTCTCAATTATTTGTAGACTTTTTGATAATGGCCATTCTGACCAGTGTGAAGTCACATTATAGTTTTGATTTGCATTTTCTAAAAATTAGGGGCATTTTTCCATATGCCTGTTGGCAGGATTAAAATTATCTAATGTAGAATTAAAATAAACCTTCCTAAATAAAAAAAATTTAAGAGATTACACAGTGAAATAAACAGTAAGTAAAACACAGTAAATACTTTGACAGAGCCAAAACCAAATATATCAGGGACATCAATTGTTTTAAAAGAGAAAAATTTACAGATTGGTTCAAAAAACAAAACCCAATTCTAGGGAGTATATGAGAGACATATCTAAAGGGTAGTTATTTAACAAGGCTAAATATAAAGAGATTGGAAAAGGTATAACTGCAACATATATAAAAGGAAAGCTGTTAAGTGGGGAGATGGGTAGGTATCCTGCCATGAAAATGCAGAGCTCTGGCACTCCAGCTGATGGCCAAGTAGAGCTCTGGGAGAAATGAAATTACCAAGAGTGTATGGAGTCCTGAGATAGTATTCTTCTTTGAATCTGAAGTGCTTAACACTTGCCTAACACAGTATGTAGTACAGAACTATTTGATCAACAAATAAATTAACAAAGACATCTTCAGGACATTAAAGCTTTTTTCAAACATCTGAAGCACTTTCACATGAAATGGGAGGCAGCGCATTGTAATAGAAGGCATAGTTGGAATCAATGAATGGAAATAATAAAAATAAAAGGGACTGTGATGATGACATTATTATTAAATGCTTTCTATATGCCAGGAGCATTCTACATGCATTCCTATCACCTATGGGATAGGCATTAATATTATCCTTACTTTACAGAGGAAGAAACTGAAAGCTTAAACTGAAAGATTAACTTCTCTGCCTGATAAGTGACGGAGCCAGGATTCCAAACCAAGCAGTCTGACACTAGAATCCTTGAACTCAGCCATATACCATAAAATTTAGAGATTTTAATTCAGTAGGAGAAAGAATTTTTTCTAATAACAAAGGTGTTCAACCACAAAACCTGAGTGAGCCCCTGTCACTGAAAGTATGCAAGCACAGGCTGAATAATGATGATGGCTACTACCTGCCTAATCTTCATGGCCAGCTGATGTACTGAGCACTTTCCCTGGATATGATCATTATTAATCCTCATAATAATCATTTCCTATTTTACAAACAAAGAGGCTGAAGTTCACCAAGATCAAGAAGCTGTCTCAAGGTCAGTAAGTGGCACCTCTGTGATACAAAAACAAGTTAGGTCAACAGCAGAGGTCACGCTCTCTCTACTCTGCTGCCTGTGTGCCAAAAAGGCTGAATAGGGGATTCCTACACAGATGGGAAGCAGGTCTCTCAAGCTATCCAAGATTCTATAAGCCTTGGTCTTTCTTTCCATGTCTTAGAGTGGCTGAGGCAAGATGGTAAGAACTGAACAGAAGAGAAAAATGTGTCAGATGACAACACAAAGGCAATAGCTACATATATTTTATATTTTTAGAAGTATGTGTTTTAAATAAATATTTTTTAGAATGTGCTGATTAAAAAATACAGGAAACTCTCCTCCACTGTTGGTGGGAATGTAAATCAGTGCAGCCACTATGGAGAATAGTATGGAGGTTCCTCAAAAAACTAAAAACAGAACTACTGCGTGTGTGTGTGTGTGTGTGTGTGTGTACTCAGTCGCTCAGTTGCATCCAACTCTTTGTGACCCCATGGACTGTAGCCCACCAGGCTCCTCTATCCATGAGATTTTCCAGGCAAGAATACTGGAGTGGGTTGCCATTTCCTTCTCCAGTGGAACTTCCCAACCCAGGGATTGAACCCACCTCTCCTTTATCTCCAACACTGGCAGGCAGATTCTTTATCACTGAGCCAGCTGGGAAGCAGAACTACCATATGACCCAGCAATCCAACTCCTGGGCATATAACCAGAGAAAACCATGATTCAAAAGATACACGCATTCCAATGTTCATTGTAGCACTATTTACAACAGGCAAGACACTGAAGCAACCTAAATGTCTATCAACGAAGGAATAGATAAAGATGTTGTACATATATACTGTTATTGTTGTTTAATTGCTAAGGCATATCAGACTCCCTTGCAACCCCGTGGACTGTAGCCTGCCAGGCTCCTCTATCCATGGGATTTCCCAGACAAAACTACTGGAGTGGGTTGCCATTTCCTTCTCCAGGGGATCTTCCCGACCCAGGGATCGAACCCTCCTCTCCTGCACTGCAGGTAGATTCTTTACTGAGGAGCTGCCTGGGAAGCCCACATGAACAAGAGAGTGGGTTGCCATGCCCTCCTCCAGGGGAACCTTCCCACACGTATTAATACAATGGAACGTTATTCAGCCATAAAAAGGAATGAAACTGTGCCATTTGCAGAGACATAGATAGACCTAGAGACTGTCATATAGAGTGAAGTAAGTCAGAAAGAGAAAAACAAATAAAATATCACTTACACATGGAATCTAGAAAAATGATATGGAAGAACTTCCCTGCAAAGCAGAGAGACACAGGCGCAGAGAATAAACTTACGGATACCAAGAAGGGAAGGGAAAGTGAAAGTGAAAGTCGCTCAGTCGTGTCCGACTCTTTGCAACCCCATAGACTATACAATGCATGGAATTCTCCAGGCTAGAATACTGGAGTGGGAGATCTTCTCCAGGAGATCTTCCCAACCCAAGAATCGAACCAAGGTCTCCCACATTGTAGGCGGATTCTTTACCAGCTGAGCCACAAGGGAAGCCCAAGAATACTGAAGTGGGTAGCCTATCCCTTCTCCAGCGGATCTTCCCGCCCCAGGAATCCAACTGGTGTCTCCTGCACTGGCAGATTCTTTACCAATTGACTATCAGGGAGTTCCCGGAGGGAAGTGGGGGTGGAATAAACTGGGAGACTGGGATTGACATATATATACTACTATGTATAAAACAGATAACTAATAAGAACCTACTGTAAAGCACATGAACTCTACTTAAGGGTATGTGGTAACCTAAAAGGGAAGGAAATCTAAAAAATCTAAAAAAGAGGGGATACACGTAACTGACTCACCACGCTGTAAAGCAGAAACTAACACAACACTGTAAAGCAACTATACTCTAATAAAAACAAATAAGAATTTAAAAAATAATAAAAGAAAATACAAATAACTTAAAGATGTAAAATTACTTTCCTCTTCATTCATAACAAAAATGTAATTAGATGCTTCAGTTTGGCAAAAACCAAAAAGTTGGACAACTCGAGGAAACAGTGCCCTTATTCATTACCAGTAGAAGTGAAACTGACTTAGCCTTCACGGGGAGTGATTCAGTAACCTCTGTCAATATTCTAAGTACATATAAACTGTTATCCAGCAATCATACCCCAAAAACAAAACCAAAAATTTGACTACAGGGCATATTATTAACTAAAAAAATATATATAAACTTCAGAATAGTAAGCATAATACACTACCATTCCTATTATTTTTTATATACACATTTATATTTGTATATACACAAAAAAATATTTTAAGGGGATACAGAAGAAAATATAGACAATATGTAGGGAGAGGAAGTAGACAGCTGTGAGGCAGAATTAAGAAGGAAACATACTTTTCTCCAGATACCATATTGAGCCTTCTGCATTTTACATCATGTACTGTATTAATATTCAAAACTAAATAAAATGAGCTTAATCATACTTACTTTAATGAGGGTTACTGTGCAGCCAAGTGAGTAGTGAAATAAAATAAGCCTAATTAATTTTTTTCCAGCCAGACAGGTTCAAACTCTTTTTGTTCCCTCTAATCAAGATAGTAGGCAGTCATCTAAGCTGAACTGATGGTTCTGCAGATGGCTGTTTTCACCACATCACCCAAGGAGAGAGTTGGCCAGGTCCACAATCAGCCCTACATCTTCAAATACATATGGCTAGATCCTACCTGCTCAGGGCCCAGCACCAGGAGGGAATGTCAGGTTTGGCTAGCTGGATGTCCCAGGTCAGGAATCACTCACCCGGTCATAGGTGTCCCCCTCCAATTCTCCCCACTTCCTGCCATCCCATGATGTGACTCGAACTCGATTCTTATCCCTGACATCTTGAGGCACATAGTTGTGAAGGACCCTCTGTAGCCTGCTCGTTCGTGATGTGGAGAGATCATTGGCAGCAAGATTGCCTGTGGGAGTATAAATTTTTAGAATTGTTTTTTCTACTTCTGTAAAAAAACGCCGTTGGACTCTTGACAGGAATTGCACTGAATCTATAGACATTCTGGGTAGTAGGAACATCTTATGCCTGCAGGAATAAAGAAACTTCAGAGGCCATTGCACAACAAAGTATCCCACCAGCAATGGTGCTAATGGAGAGTCAGACAAATTCTCAGGCATAGCCAATCAATGCAGACCCGCCAGGCAGGGGCAGGTGGAGGAGAAACATTTATTATATGCAAAGCACAGTACTAGACACTCTGGAGTGGGGGCTGCAAAGGCAACACCAACTTAACCCAGAAAGGTTATATAAATAAACAAAGCAGACTAGGTTAAAACATTTATTTCTTTAAAAAATATGCTCTCACCTTTATTGAAATATGCATTTCTCTTCATCTTTGGTAGATACTACATATTATTTACCCCTAATTTAAATTCTACTCTTATTCCTTAGTATGGGCTTCCCCAGTGGCTCAGCTGTAAAGAATCTACCTGCAATGCAGGACACGTAGAGACATGGGTTCAATCCTTGGGTCAGGAAGATCCCTTGGAGAAAAAAATGGCAACCTACTTCAGTATTCTGGCCTCGAAAATTCCATGGACAGAGGAGCCTGAAGGGCTACAGTCCATGAGGGAAAAAAGAGTCAGACCTGACTGAGCAACTAAACAACAATTCCTTAGTAACAGAACTCCAATTTTATTTGAGAGAGAGGGGCGCAATATTCCCCAAAAGACTAAATTTCCCAGCCTCCTTTTTCAACTAAGTAAAACTATAAGACTAAGTTCTGGTCAGTGAGTTGTAGGCAGAATTATTGTGTGGGACTTCTGGGAAGATGTTTAAAAGAAGCTGATACAGGGCTTCCCTTGTGGCTCAGTGGTAAAGAATCCACCTGCCATGCAGGAGACATGGGTTTAATCCCTGGTCCAGGAAGATCCCACATGCCATGGAGAAGCTAAGCCCCTGCTCCACAACTACTGAACCTGTGCTCTAGAGCCCAGAAGCCGCAACTACTAATACCACAGGCCACAACTACTGAAGCTTGTGTGCCCTAGAGCCCGTGCTGTGCAATAGGATAAGCCACCGCAATGAGAAGCCTACATACCACAACTGGAGAATAGCCCCTGCTCGCTGCAACTAGAGAAAAGCCCATGTAGCAACAAAGACCCAGCACAGCCCAAAATAAATAAAAATTATATATAAAAAACAGAGGTTGATACAGGGACTTTCCTGGTGGTCCAGTAGTTAGGATCCTACCTGCCAATGCAGGGGACACAGGTTTGATCCCTCATCTGAGAAGATGCCGAGGGGCAACTAAGCCCATGTGCCACAATTACCAAAGCCCACGCGCCCCAGAGCCTGTGCTCAACAAGAGAAGCCACTCCAATAAGAAGACCATGCACCACAACTAGAGAGCAGCCCCCTGCTTGTGGCAATGAGAGAAAACCCACACAGCAGTAAAGATCCAGGATAGTCAAAAATAAATTTTAAAAATTAAAAATAAATAAATAAAAAGAAGCTGATACAATCAGGAGATGCGCCCCTTTTGTCCACGCTTTTCTTCCTGCCTGGAACTTGACTGTAATGATTGGAATTAAAGTAGTCAAGCAGTCATGTTGGAGGCATGAGGCAATCCTGAGGATGGAAGACAGCAATAAAATAGGTTGCAAAAAGAAAGAAGAAACCCTGATAACTGTGGAGCCTCCATGCCAGTCCTGGACTGCCTATATTCCAGCTCTCTTACGTAAGAGAAAAATAAACATTTCTTCTTTAAGTCAGTTAGCTAAATTTTCTATTGTATACAACCAAGCTTAATCCTGAATGATTCAGCACCTAGCTTTAATTTTCCCTTTTGTGATAGACACGAGTTTAAGAAATATTCCACTTCACTCTTGGCTCTAAGAAAAATATTACTGTGAGCATAATGATAAATGGCAATTGATACCTGGCCCCGGAGTCAAGGAATGAAAGACAGCAGTCGGCACTGCGGTGAAGAATTAGAGAGTACATACTTTTATTTAGTGAGTGAAGCACTTTAGTCTCCCCACAAAGAAATATGTCCTAATTTTTGAGGGCACTCAAAGAAGTCAAAATTGGATTCTCTGCTCAAGAGGAATTTGCAGCAGGATATCAATTGAGAAGAGAAAATCTGGGTTCCAGTTCTGGACCTATCTCTAACACCTTTAGAAAAGCAACTCTCAATTACTTCTCTTTGGCCCTTCTTCCTCTTCTGAGTTCCAGTTCCTCCTCATCCAAGAAACTCCACCTTATCCATTCCCCCTTCTGATGGATTCTCACAGCACTCAGTCAGATCAGCATAGCCCAGCTTAGGGTGATTGGACCCATTAAGCCATATCAACATTTCTTCATTCCCTCTGGACTTACAGAATGTAGAAATCAAATATAGTATCTCTCTGAATCACCTGTAGGGCCTACCTTGAGGCTGGAAGCTAATTCAAACTGTGCAAGTTGACTGATAAGAACTGGAAAAGAAGGGTCCAGGTCCAGTAAAAAAGGCTATGGCAAGAGAAGCCTGGCTGAGCTCCATGATCAGTATCACAGCCATCCCCACCCTTCTGGCTTTCCTGGTGGTCCAGTGGTTAAGAATTTGCCTGCCAATGCAGGGGTCATGGGGTGAAGATTCCACATGCTGCGGGGCAACTATGCCCGTGTACCACAACTACTGAGCCCATGAACCCAAGAGCCTATGCTCTGTGACCAGAAAAGTCACTGCAAAGAAAATCTTGAGCACAGCAACAAGCGAGTAGACCCCAGTTGCCACAACTGGAAAAAGTCCATGCACAGCAACAAAGACCCAGCACAGCCAAGAATGAATGAATGAATAAATAAAAATCACAGCCTCCTTGTGAATCTTTCTCAAGATAAAAATACTTCTTATATTAAGGCAGGATGTCAGCAAATGGATGGCTGAAATGAACATTTACAATGAACAAGGCCCAGGCTGAGCTATACTACTGAGTAAGTCTTAGGCCTGTCCTCAAGGAACTCCTTATCTTGGGGAGAAAGAACATGTATACCCATTATCCTCTGATGCAAGGCTAATGTACTAACTGTTTCAAGGGTGATGCCCAGGGTGTGAGGGCACAGGAGACGGAGGACACACTTCGCAGCTGGCCAGCAGAGATCATGAGAGAAGACTTCCAGGAGGTGGCACACTTGAGCTGAGGCTTGAGAGCTAAGAGGGTGATAGGATGGGGGTATTCCAGAGAGAATCTGTAACACCAGCCCTCTGACTTACGGCAACAGCCAGTCTGAAGCAATGCTAATGTCTTTCCCCCAGGGGCTGCACACAGGTCAAGCACGGTGTCACCAGGCTGCAGGCCAAGGGCCAGGACAGGCAGCAAGGATGCAGCATCCATCAGGTAGTAATCCATGAGACCCAGGCTGCCACGCCTAGAAGAGAAGAGACCACCTTAGAGTGAAAAGCCAAAGTCAGGAGACCCACTGGAAGTCAAGGTCTCAAGTCCATACCCTCATGGATTACTGAGCTCTATGTAGCAAAAACTCATTTCTCTGACCCACCCTCAGGTATGTACTCACTCACTCATTCATCTACATAACAGCCAGGGCAGCCTTTTAAAACAGAAATCAACTCACCCGATTCCAGCCACACTACTCATCTTGCTATTCCTTAATTAAGCCATGCATACTCCTATTTTGTAGTTGTTCTGCTTTCTGCATGCAGCATACATCCTTCAAATATACCTCATTTGCTTCCTCACTTCCTTCAGATCCTCCGTGAAAGTTACCTCACCAAAGAGGCACTGGTATGCCCTGACCACTCTATCTGAAAATAGCAGCCCCCTACTCCCATCTATCTATCTTTAAAGTACTTATTATTCACTTTGTTAAGTATAGGTGTGTGTGTGTGTGTGTATTTTTCTCCTTCTCTCTCTCCCTATTAGAGTGAAGGTAGAGACTTTGTCTTGCTTTGTTCATTATAACATCTCCAACACCCGAAACAGTGAATGGAATATAGTAGGAACTCAGTTTTATTAGGTTACATATTGAGATACAAAGTTCTTTCTGGGTTCAGAAAAGAATGCCATTCATTGTGCCTGTCAGAGTTAAAATTATCTGACTTAGGTTTGGATGAAGGAATGGACTTTCATTAGGTTAAAAAAAGGGAGTGGGGTGGGGAAGAGGCGCATTCTGAGCAGAAGAAAACAAAAAAATCAAAGGCACAAAACCAAACACATAGCTTCTTTCAGACATGGTGAGAAATCTGGTGTGTTAGAAATACAAGGAGATCCAACCAGTCCATCCTAAAAGAGATCAGTCCTGGGTATTCACTGGAAGGACTGATGTTTAAGCTGACACTCCAATACTTTGGCCACCTGATGTGAAGGGCTGACTCATTGGAAAAGACCCTGATGCTGGGAAAGATTGAGGGCAGGAGAAGAAGGGGACGGGATGACAGAGGATGAGATGGTTAGATGGCATCACCGACTCAATGGACATGAATTTGGGTAAACTCCGGGAGTTGGTGATGAACAGGGAGGCCTGGCGTGATGCGGTTCATTGGGTCGCAAAGAGTCAGACACGACTGAGCGACTGAACTGAACTGAGAAATACAAGGTACATGAGATTGAAGTTGGAAAGCAGATAGAGACCAAGGTTGTAACATATCGAGTTTGGACTATAACCTGTAGGCAGTTACCAAAAATTTTTAATTTTAATCTCTCTCAGCTAGTCAGAGTTTTAGAAAGGTAGGTAGGCTAGAAAGAACAAATTAGAAACAGAGACACCAGTGAAAAGACTGTTACGAGAGTCCAAGCGAGAGCTAGTGACACACAGATAGAGGCAGCAATCATTAGGGTAGAGGGGGACGACAACAACATAACAGTCACAGAAGGACTCCTCACTCCCAGTTGTCATAAGGGCAACTGCGGTGCAGCCATTCAGCCTGAGACACAGTTCAGCACGAACAGCCTTTGGGGACAGTCTCAAGGAGAGAGAAAACTTGGTCCTTGCTGCCCTGACAGGAAGGCTCTGGGAGAAAGATGTGACAAGACGTGAGACACAGCACCACTGAGGATCAGCTACAAGAACTACAATCCTTTCACACTTGAATTGTCTGTGAAACTGTGTGCCTTGTACCTCACAAAGGAGAAAGATGAGAAATCACAAAAAAACATAGAATTGCTATCATAGCAGTACTGGCTCACAAAACCCATTCTTATCAAGTTCCTTCCTTTTATTAATTTATTTTTTTTAAGTTCCTTTCCTTAAGAAGCATTACTCAACCTTTTTTTTGGGGGGGGGGTGGCGGTTCATAGTTTTGAGAATTGGTTAAAAGTTACAATATCTCTTTTCAAAAAAAAGGCACAGTATACTTATAGCTGATTCACATTGTTGTATGGCAGCAACCAACACAACATTGTAAAGCAATTATCCTGCAATCAAAATTTTAAAAAGAAAAGCAAAACAACTTTTCAATTTCTGGAGGTTCCTGGACTCTCTGAATACATTTTTGAACTTCCCAGAGGTTAAGATCCCCTTGATTTACAGGGAATCCATCAAGACAAGAAGGAAAAAAACTCAAATACAGAGAGCTGCTTTCCCCCTACTCTCAGGGTGTCCTCAGGCAACTAAGGAAACCACATGGTCTTACTCCATGGATCTGCCTAAGGCCAGGGCCTCCAAATTGGCCTCTAACCCTGCTCCAATCTATCCCCTCCTTACTGTGACTAAATGATCTTCCTGAAACACAACTTTGATGGCAATAACATCAACAGTAAGAGATACTACGTATGAGTGTTATATTGCAGGGACTATACTTGGTTTTTAATATGCATCATTTGATTTAATTCTTACCACAACTCTATGAGGCAGGAGAACTCAGATACTAGAGCCAGACTACCTGGATCTCAAATCCAGCCCACCTGCTCATCAGTTGTGTGACCTTCAGCAAATTACTCAACTTCTCTGTACCTCAGTTTCCTCATCTATAACGAGTATGTACCAGATAGGATTAGTGTGATGAAACAAATTAACAGAAGTCAAATGCTTAAAACAGTATCTGGCACATAGTGAGCTATACTGTCAGCTATTACTATCATTACTTTCCAAGTTATCTTCCTGATAACGAAACCAAGGCTCAGGTATCCAATGCCACCTGTCTTTTTTTTTTTTTTTTTTTTTTTGGTTGCACTTCATAGCATGAGGAACTTCTCCAACCAGGGATCCAGGGATCAACATGGCGGCCCGTGCAATGAAAGTTTGGAGCCTTAACCATTAGACCACCAGCGAAGCCCCATATTATCTAATATCAATAAGTGGTAAAGACAGGATTCAAATCTAGGTTCCCTTAACTCCAAAGCCCATGCTTATAACCACTCTGTTATTCCTTTCCTCTGCTCTGAACCCTTCTTCAGTGGTTCTCTAGAACACAGACTGGCCATTTACAGCAATATATACTAAAAGGCACACAGTATGAAGCTACCCAGCCCTGGTATTCCAGTCATTTATAAACAACCGTAAACCATCAGGGAACTCCCCTTTCCCCAGCCTGCAAACTCCTGGAATTCAAGATTCCTATACATGGCTTCCCATGTACTTTTCCAGCCTCATCTCTTACTTCTCTTAAGCATACAGTCTTCCTTCAAACCAGCAGCTAAGACTACTGCAAAGACTCCTAATTTACAACCCCATTTCTAGCCTTGCCTCTCTCCAACATATTTTCCACACAGCAGCCAGAATGATATTTTAAAAATTCAAATCTGATCACGTCATTCTCCAGCTTAAAACCTTTATGGCTGGGACTTCCCTGGTGGCCAGTGGTTAAGACTCTGTACTTCCACTGCAGGGGGCACAAGTTCAATCTCTGGTCAGGGAACTAAGATCCCAGATGCCAAATAAAAACGACAACAAAACAAACAAACAAAAAACCCTTTCATGGCTCCCTCTTCCTTTTAGAGAAAAAGTCCATAATCCCATATGGCCTGTAAAACCTTCCTTATCTGGTTAGACGGTAAAGAACCCTCCTTGCAGGCGGAAGACCTGGCTTTGATCCCTGGGTTGGCAAGATCCCACTCCAGTATTCTTGCCTGGAGACTCCCCATGGACAGAGGAACCTAGCAACCTACAGTCAATGGGGTCACAAAGAGTTGGACATGACTGAGCAACTAAGCACAGCACAACCTTCTTCTGTAGCCTCACTCTCCCATCCCCAACCCCATGCCACCAGTTTTAATTCCTATTCAGTTTTCAGGTCTTAGCTTAAATTTCACTTCCTCAGCACTAGATCTTCTAACTATAAGACTTCATGGCATCTTGTACTTTTCTTCTGTAGCACTTATCACAACCATAAATAGTTAACAGTTATCTCCCTCACTACACTGCAAGTTCCATGGGGACTTGTGCACTTCAGAGTGCCTGGCATTTGGTAGACAATATCTGCTGAATGAAAGAAACAATCCTTCAAAGATCAACTCCCACATCCTACAACTACCACTGAGCTCTCCTTTTCTCAATTTCTAACACAATTTAGCATTTTATTACAGAATCTTTTTTCATTCAAATTCACATACATCTGAGCATTGGATAAGATGTGTGGAAGGTCTCCTTTTCCCCAGTCTAATACTAACTTTGTGTTCCTAAGCAAGCCCTATTTCCTAGACAAGGCCCACTTCTTTGGTATCATGAGGTTACCTGTCCTACTCTCTTTGATGGGGGCAAAATAAGAAAGCAATTGTAAATAACACACATTTTAACTAGAAAGGGTGCAGTAAGTGCTCATATAAGAAGTGTGGGTTTTTTTCCTTTCTTAGGAAGTAGCATAGAGCAGGCTCAAAGTGCAGGTACTGGGGTCAGACTGCCTGGGTCTAAATACTAACTACACCACTTACTACCTAAAGGACCTACAGAAGTCAGTACCTTAATTTCTCTGCACCTAGGTTTCCTCAAAGATAAAAGAAAAACAGTAATATTATCCACCTCAGAGGACTGTTGACAGAACAAAAGGAGGTAAGGCCCAGCATGTATAAGCACTTAGTAAATATTAGCAATATTAGGATTCCTATTAAACAGGACAAGAGCTTCATCTCTTCCTGTATACTTCTGGCAGACACTCAGCACAGTGCCAGCCATGCTCCAGATCCTACCTGGCAGGAGGGAAACGGCTGACATCCCCTCTGGTGAAAGTAAAACAACGAAGATTTGGACTGCAAACCCAGGACGCAGGGGATGGAGCAGCAGTTTGGCTATTCTCAGGCTCTGGTTCCCTGTGGAAGATAGCTTCATTCACAAAGTCCCTGGCCTTCAGCTGCTCCAGCTCAGCACTCACATGATCCCCAGAAGCGAAGTTATTGACCAGTGCACCATACTTCTGCTCTGAGAGGAGACTGACCCGGATCGACGGCCAGAGATCTCCAAATTGCACACTGTAGGTCATGTCAAAATTCTGCAGAGCCAGTCGAGTAGCAGGAAATTTGGGCTCTGTGGAAGCCTGGAAGAAAGAGAACAGGCTTATAGGTCTTCCAGGCCTCTATCCCCTTACTGCCTGAGCCCACCACCACCTTAGAGTGCTGGGGCAAATATGGATCCAGCTAGTGCCCACTCCTGCCTTCGCATTGTGCCTCTGCCTGCCAGAGAAAAAGTGTATGAGAGAAAAGTAGTGGGAAACTGGCCTTTCTAACTCAGTGCTGTGAAAGTAAACTCTAGCTCTCACAATAGCATGTGGGTGTCACCAAAAATGAGGGCACTCCTTGAGACCTAGGAGAGGACTCTTGAGGTAAGTCTATAGAAGGTTGGTAGCAACTATAGAGGCCCTGGGCAAAGAACAGATTTAAAGATGGAAGACATTTTTTTCTTTCTGAATAGTCCTTCCATTTTCTAAAGCACTTTCACATCTCCTAGTTTAGATGAGCACCATAAGAGACAGCGCAGTGGGATACAAAAAATATGAAACTTCTACATTTGGTGGAGAAGAGAGGGTAACTTACCTAAAGGTCATGCAGTGACTGACACCACAATGCTCAGTATCACAGGGCTGAGGGTCATTTGGGGAAAGTTCCCGGATTCCAGGAAGGTGGGATGAGAAGAGCTCATAGAAACCTTGAAGTGTGAATCAAAGTGGGGACGTACAGAATGACTGCTATGGCGGTAACAGAGAGGGGCGTGAGTCAGGCTTGAGGAGTACAGAAATGGGTCGAAAGAGAAAAGCTGAGGAGTCCACAAGTTGGCCCTGATTGCCACAGCTGGGATGCTTACTATGGCTGGCAGCCCTGTTACTGTCTATGAATTTTGGGTTGGCTTCGATTTTCGGATTGCTTGGAACTCCTTCTCTGCCCTCATTTCTTGTTATGGTGGGGGCTCTTGCTGCGACCATGACCTCTGCTATGGTGGGGACTCTTGCTCTGTCTCAAACCTTTGCCACGGTGGGGACTCTTGCTCTGGCTCCTGCTCTGGCCCTGCCTTCTGCCACGGTGAGGACTCTTGCTTTGGCTCCGACTTCTGTTACGAAGGGCACTCTTGATCGGGCCCTGACTTTTGCTAGGTTGGGTACTTTCACTCTGGCCCTCATCTTCAAGACGTGGAGGACTCTCTTCCTGGTTTTTATTTGTGCTTTCTTGGGTACTACTGCTCCCACTCCGACTTCTGCTAAGATGGAAAGTCTTTCTTTGAGTCCAAGTTGTGCTAGGGTCATGGGCACTCTCACTCTGGCTCCAACTTGTGCTTTGGTGGGCGTTGTTGCTGTCACTACACTGGCATTCACTAATAACCAAAGTTGAACTACAGCTGGCATTAGTACTACAGCTGGAACTCTTGGTTGAAGGCACAGGACAGCTGTAGGGAATCTGGGAGGACTCCTTGTGGGAGTCTCGAGAAGCCATGGAGTAGACGTGGAGGCCACATGGCATAGCATCAAGGTGACCCCGGGCTCTGGGGGCAATGGGTAAATTTTGGGGGTCAAAGGGTGTTCTCAAAGGGATAAAAGAATAGATGTGGGTAGAACAAGGAGGCAACACAGGCTGGCGATGAGGTTGGAGTGGGCCCCGGGGAGTGCTATAGGGGCCACCAGGGGGCACCACAGGCTGGTTATGACACTGAAGGGGACCTGTGCATTGATTGAGGGGACCAGAGACTAGGCCAGGATCGGGGGTGGGGGGAACCATGGAATATACATGGGTACTGCAGGGGGGTCCTATGAGGGGTCCTCGGGGGCCGGCCTGAGCATAACTACTGGGTAAGACAGGATCACAAGGAAGGCGAAGGGGAAGGGAAGCAGGGATAACTGTTTTGAGGGTTCTGGGAACCACAGTGGGTGCAGTAGTTCCTTGGGGAAGTTCTTTGGGGCAGGAATTTGAGCAAGTTGTAATGGTTGTCACCATACAAGAAGGACCAGAGATGCCAGAAGAGTGGGAGGGAGGTGGAGGGGAGGAGCTGGGCTTGGGGGCCCTGGGCTGGTCAGGAGAGTGCTGGGTGACCAGGGAGTGACATCTGTGGGGAGAACGTGGTTGTTTTACCTCTGAGGATTTGGGAGACTTTGCTCGGGGACAAACAGGCACAGGGAGAGGGGATTCCTTACAGCTTCTGCAGGGGGGTGACTGGGGTGGATTCATAAACTGGTTGCCTGGAGGTGAAGGGAAGAAGGCAGAACAAGGACAGTGGGAGGACACGGGAAGAGGTGGTTCCTGGGGACAGGGGGGACCAGAAATCATAGCACCTGGGGTTATTCGGAAATAAGAGCTACCACCAGTCTCCCAGGAATAAATGGACTCAAAGCAAGGCTTCCTGGAATCCTGTAACTGGGAGTTGCCAGGACTCCCAGGGGATAGGTGGATGGCATAGTAAGGGTTCCCAGGGGCAGGTATGTGAGACTCTGGGGGAAGATGGGAATAGTGATAAGAGCCCTCCTGAGGTGAGCTGGGAGAACTAGATGTGCCTGGCTGAGAGGAAAGTGGGGAGCCACAATAATTTTTCCCAAAAGTCGGGTCAAGCTGTGGTTTAGGTTCATGAGAGTCTAGATGCTTAACATGGCCATGGTAAAAGTTGTCAGTGGGTGGGGAAGATGCTGAGGAAAGAGGAGGATCATTGTAACTTCTCCCTGAGGACCAGGAAGAGAGCAGAGTAGAGGTCATGGCCCCAGTACCCAAAACCCTCTGAGGAGGTGGAGAAATTATAGGTCTAGTTTCCACATGCCGATGGGCAAGGGGAGGTGAAATTACAAGCCCAGTTCCCAGGGACCTATGAGTAAGAGGAGGTGAAATCGTGGGGCCAGTTTCCAAAGGCACATGAGTGAGGGGAGGGGAGGTCACCGGGTTGGTTACCAGGGCTGGAGGGTATCCACCATAGTAACAGAGGTAACTCTGCTGGTCTATGTAAGGGCCTCGGGGACAGAGACGTGGTGTTCTCGGAGGACTGATCCAGCTGCAATGAGCGCTCCGCTGACGGGCAGGGGGTGACCCCACAAGGCGGAACCGCTCAACACAAGGACTTGGAGGGGACGAACCCAACAGGATAGGCTCCCGGCAGGAGGGCCTTCCTAGATGTGGAGAACAGGGTTCAAAACAACACCCCCCTGGGCGCAGAAGAGCCTGCGGGGTTGGGGAGGAGGGCGGTGGCGGCGGGGAAAGAATTGGTCGGGGTAGGGAGGAGGGCTGGCCGGCTAGGGAAGAAATTCCAGGGCTACAAGAGAGGCCAGAGAAAGGAGCTCTGGACAAGTGGGGTGAGCCCATAAGGTGGGAGGAGTCGCTGCACCGTTTGCCTGGTTGTGGGGAAAGGTCTGGAGGGTGGTCGCTATAACCTTTCCTGGGAGCCAGAGGCAGCTCGAGGGTGAGGAATGGGGTTGAATCCTTTCCCGGAGGGCAGCGGAGACCCGGGAGGGAAGGGTAAGTCGCTACGTCACTTTCCGAGCGGAGAGGACGGCGGGGCAGGAAGGTCTAGGAGGAAAGGAAGAGAAGAGATCATGGGGGGTTGGGGAGG